CCAAGAGGTGCAGCTGCACTAGGGTTCGCTGCACCGGGCAATTGCACCAAATTTCTCGAGGTGCAGCTGCACTTGTCAAGGCCTAGCTGGGGTAGAGTACTCTTTAGAATATAGAAATTCCCGCTCGTCCGTAAAGTTGCTGTAGACCGAGCGGAAAAGTGACTAAGTAGTGACGTTGTCTATATAGTCTAATTTGATGGTCATAGCCGCTTGTCCAGGACGAAGAAGAGTGGCCTACAGATTCGATAGTGCGATTTGTGGTTTATACCTAGTATACGACCTTCGCTAGCAGCCACTCTATCAATAAGGTCTAGCAATGTAGACAGAGAAATACACTCGCTAGGTTTATTTACGGCCGCAGGGAAGACTTACTATTCAATACCACATTAGAAAAGGCTCGAACTCACGCCTGCTTCTTCTTATACCCGCGAGGGGTTCTGGTTCTAGAATAGAGTTTTGAAGGCGTTCGTTTATTAAACTCGCGATTACGTGGGAGCTCAACGACGGACTGATTGTGAACCATAATATAGGGTATCGGCAATCAAATAGAGATGTTTCCACTAGGAATGTTCGAAGCCACTACACATGTGGAATAACGTTGTCTTATCCGATATATTCGACGTGGGATGCGGAGAAGGCCACTTCGCTTGTTTCTTGGATGACCAGGAAACCGGTGCTCCAGCAATTTAGACATATAGAATCTAGAGTATGAACCGTCAGTGACGACCGAGCCTCAAAGTTGACACACTTGTAGGCAATCAATCTAATCGTTCGTTGCGGTATGTGATACGGTAGGACTGCGTGACTGTGACGTAGTGGAAGCTCCAGCTCGGCAAATATCTGCACTGTGGCCCTGAACCGAAAGTCGAAACGAGGGAATTGGAGGAAGTCAAGGAAAAGATAGGGGATATGACTGCAGGAGAGATTGGGCCTTCAAGAGTGTCCCGGGCGAGAAGCAGGCCACTCATGGGCTTACCCAGCCCTTGGGTCCATCGACCAACCTTTGCCGACTTCCGTAGCCTGTTAGGGATGGAAGCAGCGGGAACTCGGACGAAAACCTGTGTTAGCACTGCTTCTTTCTCTTTTGTTTTGCCCACGACGCTTTGAGTGGATTCACCGAGGACATGATCGATACGCAAGCGGTCCAGTATTGCCTTGCCAGCAAACCGATCCTGAAGGGGAATATTGTGACAATGAGGTTCGTGCAGCTCAGCAAGGAAGCCGCAATTGGAAAATAATTTGAGTTATGATGCTCTAGTAATCCCTCGGAATAATAGCGAAGAACCTTTGTTGAATTACAGCAACAGGCCTCGACGACGAGGAGTCCACCAGATGTATTATTTCTGTGTTCTAAAGGGGAGTCTTGGTATTCTGTATGCCTGACTTGGTGACTACCTAGCTGTAACCGTACGTAAACTAATAGTAAGGTCTGAGAAGGCCACATACGTTCGGGTATAAAATATTAATTCACTCCACAAGGCATACGTAACCCGACATAGTACACTGTAGGTAGTGCATACTGCATACTGCCTTAAATTACATTCTGGCTTTTCATCAAGCTACAACTTGAGAATGTACCATCCTTCTTATGATGTACTACTCCACATGAACTAGAATTCATTAGCAACCAGAGAGAAAAATTATGGTGCGTGTAGGTGGTGAACCGAGTTTATGAAGGTACACGAGACTTACCGAATAGTTTCATCATTAGTCGTGCCATGCGATGTGAATACAGCCCTGTCAGTGTCCGGCTGACCCCCGGTGTAATTCACGAGATGCAGCACAGGAAACTCGAGTAACTCCCCAGTGATACCACCAGGGCACTCCCGATTGAGTGCGACATCGTCGGAATTCCAAAATGTGTGAGGGTACCCTTGGAGATGCACAAAGAGTATTGTTAGTGTGCTAATCGCTGAAAGAGGTGAGAACTATGCACAAACTTACGGCGATCGCCTATAGGGGCTCGGCGGTATTTAATCACCCGCTCTCCTGCATTACGGATGTCGTCCATGGTATAAACCAGTTTCCCTTCCGAGTTCGTAGACGGGCAAAGATAACCATAATGATCCGGAGGAATGCCAATGACTTCAGCCGCATCGATGGCCTGCTCCCCCTGCATGGGAAACTGTACCAGCGGCAGTTGCACAGCGATGCGGGCAACAGTAATGGGTGCAAAGGCAGCAAATAGTTTCATTATATATGGTCCCAGATCGGGCGGGATTCGAGCAAAAAAGCTGAGGTTGGAAGAGGCAGCTATGGGTGATGCAGATGGGGCATAATTGATTTAAATATAGGACCTCTGCAAGGGGCGAAGTCCATGACATAACCGCCAAACACCGGATTCAAATTCCGGATACAGCGGGAAAATGAGGCAGCCCGCCCTAGGAAAGCACCGCGCGTCATCGACTGAAACCTCTGTATAGTTGGAATCACAGGATCTATGGATTCACTGCAAACCCAGAGATCGGCAGTCGGCACAGATGACAAGTACCTTCGTAATTTGCAAATGCTGACAATATTGCGTTGCAAGTCATCATTTGGAGTGCCGGGATGCGCGGACTCGTCTGCCCTAACAGGTAAGTGGACATTGAACCACCCATAACACCGAAGCAACGGACCGGGCCGCGCAGAAAAACCCTTGATTCTTGAAGAATTTCGACGCAGGACAAACCAATACATATATATACATATATGTAAGTTTTAACTGGCAATCATCTACTAGGACACCTTAACCGATTATGACCTTCCAAATTGCAATTACTGGATCGTGGTGGCCTCCAGGGTAACGCTATTTGTGCATTTGATAGCATCGACTCCTCTCTTCTTCTTTTTGTTACAGAACACCTGCAGTCAACATGAAATGGTGGGATGAGACAGACGTATATACCGAGCGATCTATTATTATTGTCATTTATCATATTTCCTCAGACTTTCCGCGGCCATACGCTGAATGTAGCCCCGTTGCTAGTGTATTTAAATGCTATAAATTCGGGTGCGGCTAAGACACCTCTTCTTTTTTTCTTTCTTTTTTCCTTTCTAAGTAGCTTTAGAACTTGACTGGTTGCTGCCAGAGGACATTCCCTGACTGACAATGGCGCGTAACGGTTATATGTTCCAACTTGTATACTGATAATAAATGAGTAAATGCAGAAAGTAAGGATAAGATAAAATTTGACGGCGTGTCAGGCACTCTGCTGGCTCGCATAACATCTTTATCTCGTCTGCGGAAGCGGGTTGAATCGATTGGCGTTGGCTTATAATGCATCGTTCCCCATACGCAAACCCTTTCTGTGGCACATATAAGGTTGATACCTAAAGCAAACTCACACGTATATACAGCTACTACTCGAAAGGTGCCAGAAGAGGACAAAGCTAGCAGGAAGAAAGATCAGTCCTCTACTCCAGCCCTCAAGAGGGTCGGATGGTATCGATGACTTTGCCATCTAAGTTTCCATAATGTGCTCAAACTCGCAAACGCCGGTATCACTCGCATTACAGCCTCGAAGGCTCTGTAATTTGTGATACCTGCTGGAAAGCAAAGCAGACGCGGCACATTTCGTCCACTGCCGCTCAGTGCGCCGTCAAGCCATTAGCGAGAATTCATATGATATTGCGAGTGGCGGCAGTTCACTTGGATGTAGTACGACGAAGCTCCACCTGGCGCAAAAAGTTTTCGATATTTCATGATCATCAGCGACGAAGACACTCGGTATCAACGGATTACTTTCTCCAAAACCCCTCTGAAACTGTCCGATCCCTCAAGCAATGGCTTCAACACATGAAGAATCAAGAATTCGACTAGCCACATAGATGCGGTATTTGTCATTATGTATGACCTTTTTAGCAGCCTCTTGCGACGGCAGGATTAGTTAGTTACAGCTTGTAACTACTTAATTTTACGCTTGGCTGAGGATAGTTTTTCCTGATTGTGTGCATCAAGGAGATTTCGGAACGGAAAAACAAACAATGCTTAGTAATGATGGACCTACATTAGCCACGGTGTTCGACCAACTATAGACCTCAAAAACATTTAGAGGGCGAGTAACGACCAGCCCTCGCCCGACCCTCCGCTCTCATTTGCATAAAAAAGGTTGACCTTTCCTAATTTAGACGTATAAAACTGCTAGGCCATCTTAATAAATTACTATTATTTAACACTATTCTGGTTTGAATATTAGTTTTATAATCTATTTCTTTATTAGTATTAAGAAATTTTAAGAAATCAAGTTGTATTATAATTAATCGTAGTAGGTAATAGTGGTACTATGGATTTTTAATCTCTTTAAGAAAAGTAGTAGTTAGTAATTTAGCAGTTGCTAATTCTATAAGATAAAGTTAGAGAAATATATATTTATAGTAGTACCTATACAGTGTATACTTTCTAAGTAACAACTTCTTTTTTAATTTTTATATTTTATCTATAGGATATTAATCTAGCTATTATATAGGACTTGTACATAGTAATCTGATTATTTTATTAAATTTTTATACTACTAAGCTATAAACAGAATACTGAATAATACCGCCGAAACCTGCGTACTTCATGCATCTAACTCAGAGGGCCGCTCGCGGGCGGGTTTGAGGCCTAACTATAGCTTTTAATTTTTATAAAATTAATATAAAATGCCTTATCGATAGCTATCGATAAGTAGTAAAATAGAATACGAAGGTAGTTGTTAAGATATAAGGGTGTTATATATCGCTATATGTTTAGAGATGGCGGCAGGCTTATAATGGCGGCTCGCTTACCGAATACGTTATACGAATAAAATGCTTAAACTGATTTTGAGCTATCCTATATGTAGTAACAACGCTAGCAACTTGTCTGGTCAAAAATTTCTACAAGCAAAGCTAGCTAGAGAAATGATGACAGGTATATATCTCTTTAACCTTCCAGTTCCACTTTCTCCATCTTTCTCCATTGCTTCTTAGTATCACTATATCCGTAGATAGCTCGTCCTTTTACCTGAATGTTGATCAAATAGTCACACTAGTGTGCTTCACTCGGAAATATCCATAGATTGTAAGCTAACAAGTGATGACAGCGACACAAAACTGGGAACAGAGTAGCAGCAAATATGACTTTCTGAAACAGTTGACCGGCTCTTACTCTTGGACAACGTCAGCACGAAGATCCCGCAAATGGTTCCTCTAATTGCTCCCTCGTGATTTCTCAGAGGAGGTGTATATCTTGGTGGCAAGTCAACGATGAGATCCAAAGGGTTTTCGTAACTACCGGCCGTCAACCCTAGCAGAGCAGCGGTTTTGATTCGATTGTAATACCATGCACGTGGACCGTCGTAATCAAGCTTGAAGGAATCCTGGATTTGGGATTTTTGCTCTAGGTCGAGTGCAAACCCTCGGGCTTTCTCGCAACAAGAACACTCCACGGTGCAATGACCAACTGCAAATTTTCGTTCTGACTGGCGATGAGAACAGCATCCACAGTCTCTACCACAACAGCCTCCTCTCCCAACGCAATCTTCCCAAAGTACTCGATGCATATACCATTTTGGCTGTGGACGCCAGTAATCGATACCTCTGGTCAGCGGGCTGTCCTCAAATGAAAACCTAATCTTCCACCAACGTCGTTCCAAGGTCCAATATTCCTTCGAAAGTGTCGACAAGTCCTCCTGTAAGTCTTGAACAACAGTCACGTTGATGCCTTCCTTAGCAAGTTCCTCTATTTTCCCTTTTAAGGCTATCTCGCGTTGAGTATTCTCCCGAAGTGCAATCTCTGTCTGTAATAGCCCCTTTAGATCGGTGGGGCATTGTCTTGGGTTTTCTTCGTCGGCGAAGGTAGCGTATCGGTATCTTTGAAGAAGACATATATCTCCAGATCTTTCTAGATCAATCTCTTCATCGGTTTTATCCCCCCATATGTAGTAGCTCATCTTCAAATATCGTTTCACTCAAGGATGTTGGGTCTGGTAAAGGACCTCGGGATTGAAGGTTGATATGGAATCGAAAAGATGATCTGCCGAGTCCTCGTATTTGCCGTGGAGACAATTCTAGGAATATCATATTTTTATAGAGTAAAAAGGCTAAAAGTCAAATTGCCGCGTCCAAAAAAGGAACCGGGCGTCAGCTAGCCATTATCCTGATCTATCACCCGTTGAGAGCAATCGTCAGGATGACGGGTATATTAAATTGAAACCTAGTGGCGGGCAACATAGGCTTCCACAACTTTCTAAGATAGAAATTTGAGAGGCATACACATGAACCTATCTATCAGAAGTGACGAGAAACAGACACATCGGAATGCATGATGTAAATACTAAGGTCTTTTTTTTGGTTCTTTCATAAAAAGAGAGAGGGAGCTACCATGCTACGGGGAGCAAGAAAAATGCGACATTATCCAACATTGTCAAAGACGAACCCTAGTGAATGCTATAGATACTGCATTCAAGTAAGGGTAAGAGAGAAAAAGACCACAGAAGTGAAAAAAAAGTCAAAAAAAAGTAAAAAAATTGGTCTTGGCACTGACAGCTTCTGGCATCATTCTCTCGTCAAACTCTGCCTAGATACTATGTTAGTCCTTTTCAATGGCAGGCAAGTGCAGATAGAGAATTTCGCCCTGTTCAGGCCTTGGTATGTATCTTTCATAAACGCAAGTAAATGGCTTTTATATCTGCTTCATGTTAATGCTTAAGTGTACTATTTACTTACAATTCAGACTTGTCCTCGCTCTGTCAGACCCAGGCGGTTGAACCGGCGATTTCTGCAAACTTGGCAGCCGCACTGTAGAGGATGACCGAGTGTGATAGGTTCTGGCGGTTGAACCTGCACAGTATTGCGATAGCGGCGATGGCGGAGGAGGCTAGAAGTGGATTCAGGCGCCCGAGGTTCATAAACGGCAGCTAGAGGGCGCTTGGGAGGTATTGGGGGGTATATCTGCCACAACAAGGATCTCGGAGCACGCTGGGGCTGGTAGGGCTGGTGGAGCTGGTGGGGTTGAAGGGGGATTCGAAGGGTTATGCGGGCCTAAAAACCTATGGGTAATCAGTAATAATGCATATATAGACTTGAAACAGCCAGCTCGAGAGTAACAGAAGACATAGGCTTTCCGCAAGTACTTTACCGAAGAGCCCAAGCCCGGGCCAGTTTTGCAAACGTGATGGTCATACTCCAGCAGAACAAGAACGCCAAACAAACAAAAAGCGGCTTGCCAGATCCTGTCATTCCAATCGGGGGCCAAAAGAATTTCATGCAGCAACTCGACGACAGATTTAGGGCCTTCTGCAGCTGGCATTTTGAAGAAAATTGGTGGTCTACAGGGTCTACTATTCTGCGCACCTACGATCTTGTCTTGCTTTTCCTAATAGCGATTCTAGGAAAGAGCCAAGGGAGGAGATCTTCCGGGCAAATTGCGGTTGACAGAGAAAGAGCGTCGTCTCGATAAAGAGTCCCTCCTACGATTGGAATTGCTGCTCATGCCTTTGACTCTAATTCTGTATCTACTGGCATGGCTAACCGAGTGAACGTGGGAAATCCCCGCATTGTAAGTCTACTTCCCTCTTTGTCGGAATTATGACTGTTCTAAGATTTCTCTGAACAGCGATACAAGCCGCCGCCAATCGGGCGAGCCAATTATCCTTTGTCCTAATAACCCCAATATGCCCCTTTCCAAGATTGTCAGGTATATCTAGAAGCTCCTCCCAATTATCAATCTGGGTCAGCCTTTGCGGCACACTTTCAAAATCTTTGGTATGGAAGCAGACCGGCGGTAAGGAATCTTCATAGTAACGCTTCAAGCGTTGATTCATAGGCAGCGAAGAGAAGCAGCACATCAATATCTCCCACCCACTTCCCCCGATCATGGACGGAAATCACAGTCTCCACCACGACGATGTCTACCGATCGCCCCTCCGCCCGACATCAAAAGGCACCTCAAACTCCGTACAAGATAAATGGAGGGATGTCGCCCCAAAGCAGTTTTCATGCTCTCCTTGAAAGGCGTTGTGCGCAATCTGCTTCCAGCTGCTGATATCACATGGTCGAATGCGAGGTGCAACCGGTGCAGCCATCATGGCCATACCTCTTTTCCCCATATTACCGACGATTCGGGCAATTCCGTTCCGGTGGTGGGTGTCGAATGGGTCCTTCAAAGGCGCTTCAGAGGCATAGATAGTATTCCTGGTTGATAACGCGATAATTTCTTTCAAGTCCGATGGAGGAATATTGTAAATTCCGGATTCGAGGTATGCTATACAGGCAAATTTCTGCGGGCGATCCAAGCGTCGATCTTTTCTTTTCCAGAATCGGTCACTCTTAGGCACCCAATGAAGCGTATAGAGCGGCCGTTCGGTAGTACCCGGCGAAATGGTGGCTCCAGATAGATTGTTGTACACATCGGAAGCAAGCCCCAGTGCATTAAGGGAATCCACAAACAATCGCACCGCATAGACATGAGGGTTCAGATCTCTTTTGAAATAGGTCGATATTGTCCCTGTCTCCGAGAAAGAGAAAGACGAGAGATATTCCGCAAGTCGTTCAGGATGGAAACGACCGGACTCAAGTGCCTCAATCATCTCTTGAGGACCTGCTAGAGGTTCAGAGGCCAATTCATCTAGCCTTTGTGTAGGTTTCTACGGCGACTTTGCACTTTTGCGTCCACCTTTGCGAATAAGGCGACTCCTTCGCGACTGTAAATATGATCACCGATTGTTATGGGGTGATAGCCTCCCACACGATAGCTTTCTAGTTTTTCCACTCCTTCGATGGGTTCATAAAGGTGACGAAAGGAGTCGTCACCCTCAGTTTGAGACCTGAGAGCAGAAATGCAGTGAAAGCTACGAAATTTATTTTGGTAATGCTGAGTTCGTCGCGCTTTTCTATGAAAAAGCAACAAACGCGTCCGGAAAGGCCGAAACGGGGGTGAGATTAAATTCCCCATGTTACAGCTAGCTCTGAAGCTGAATTTCATGTGAAAATAATGATTGCGAGGCTGGGACAGCCTGTCTCAGCTGCTCCTCGGCGCGTAGATAAATCTGGGCTTGTTGACAGGGGGCCCGTGAGTCTGGTCTGATCCGGCCACGTGGTGACCGGCTAGTGTTGTCTGATTCCGCAAAGTACCTCCTGACAGTATCTCGGGCTGACTGAATGTTAGCAGGTGATAATGAATGTTGGGGTGTGTGATCAGGTCGCTCAGTCAGCTGCTCAGGGGGGTGACTAACTCACCCTATGCAGGGCTCCTCGGGCCGGGAGTCGATGACTTCCGGCAGTTTCACAGTCACCTACATATGTAGATTACAATTTGAATATACAAAGGGAATTCCAATTTGTACGTATATTACAGTAGGTCAATATCTAAATAGTCCGATGGCTAAGCTGATTTGCCGCCATTTTCCTATAACTCGGCGCCGTTGCAATCCTAGCCTTCTTACCCCAGAGGAGCAGTGGGATAGGGATCAACAGGGTCACAAACGCGACAATTGAAAGCAGAACATGCAAGTTTCGCATGCCCATCCCATTAACCCAGGGCGTTAACGCAAAAAGTACAATCACCGAGAAGATGTTTCGCATAAAAATCACTCCGATTAACGCGTCACCAATAATCTAGAAGCCAAGTTAGAAAGAGAACCCATAGGCTCGAAATAGAATAGGTACTCACGTCTTGATAGCAATCCATGAGATACGAAAGCGTGATACCGCTAATAGAAGCAAGAGAAAATCCAAAGAAGCCAAATCCCACAGCAAGAAGAGCCCAATGCGCACCCTAGAAAGTGTTAATAATGGCCAAAAATTCATGTCTTGAATGCATACTCACATAGGCAAGACCCAAACCGAATATTAGGATTCCCCCAGGACCAATAATGGCAATAGGTAGAGCAAGCCAAAGACGCATCTCCGGTTCGTAAATACCGCCATTACGCTTGGATAACCACAAAATAGATTTATCGCTCAATTGTCCACCAAAGGGGAAACCCAGAAGAGCGCCAACAAACGGAGCCACATTCATCAGCCCGACCCCAGTAGCATCGAAGTTATAAGGCGGTACAATCATGTAAGATGCCTGTAGCGACGTCATGATCGCGAACCAGCTCATCACAGACCCGTATGTGATAGCCGCATACGAAACAGCCGGGAAGGTAAAGAGCGCCACGATTGGTTGATAGAAATGCGGCCACAGTGATTCATCAGTGGGAGTCACCAAGGCCATGCGCTGGACATACGTCTTCATCTGAATGTCTGGGTCGGTATGTACGCGGTTAGCGGGCGTCTCACTGCCCTTCTTTGAATCTGCTACGTCGCCATCTTTGTGTGATTTGGACGGTTCATCCGTGTGTTGTGCATCCGCCGTAACGTCGCGACCATTCATAACGGGGACATATTTCGATTCCTCGAAAAGGAATATCACACAGAGTAGTGTGACTCCGAAGAAAATGGCACACCACCACCAGATCCACCTCCACCCTTGTGCCACCACGATGTATCCCGATGCAACGGGACCAAGAAATGCGCCTGTAGACTGGATGATGACATACCAGCCGTTCATAGTGGCGTGCTGGTGCACGAAGAACATGTCTGCGATAGTAATCTGCACGATGACCTCGCTGATTGCGCCGCCGATGCCGGAAATCACGCCACTGCCCATTAGATCGCCGACGGTGGTGATGTTGGCTTGCCAGATGCATGCTGCGAACTGCAGGGCCACGCTGACTATGTAGATTGGTCGTCGGCCGTACTTGTGGACTAGGGGCATGAAGAATATGCAGCCTACGGCGAGACCGCTGTAGTTGGTGGCTGCGTTGGCGTTTAGTATGTCGAGGGGGAATTTGAGCTCTGATCCCATTGGGCCCCATGCTGTGAAGCTGATGTCGAGCTGTACGAAAGTCCATAGCACAAAGAAGCTGACTAGGGTGAAATTGAGGATTTTGCGAGCTTTGGACCAATTAAGGGGATCGTTGGGGTCGGCTGATGGGGTGGGGAATAGGACCAGTTGGTCTCTGGATTGGTGGACTGACATCGTAAGTCTAGTTGTATCTGTATTGTAGCATCGTACTTACTATCTTCTAGCCTGACTGTTCCTGGGGCCCAGATGGTCCCATCTTGATGAGAGTCGTTCTCCATAGTTGAGAGTTGGATACTGAAGGCAAGGGTGATGAGCGAACATGACCATGTCTATTTAAGCAATCCAATTGCGGACATTCGACCGCAACCTTATCAAGTTTGAATATATGCGGGGAAACTCCATACCTCCAATGTGGTCCTGATATTCACCTGGTCGAATCAGGATGCGTAAAACCTGCCGGCTTGGCAGATTTCGGGTTCGACAGGGAAGCCTCCCCGGTTTTATCTTCATTCATCTTTGATTCTTACAGGTAACTCCAACGGTTACTGATATCTTCGACTTTGCCGAGCCACTTGTCAAGCTAAGCCTGTAGCCCCTGCAAAAGTTTAGTTTCACCCTGAAACACTGATAAGAGGAAACGATTGAAACGATATACCGAGCACGCATTCGAGCAAAATCCCATCTTTTCAAAGCAAACTACTAAAAAATCTAGTCAAGTGACCAAATATAAGCACGAAAGATCTCTCGACTATAGTCACTCCACGGGTAAACAGTAAGATCAAAGTCCGGCTGCAACATTCTCCGATTTCTCTCCGTCAATCGAAACCCATCCTCAAGCTCATCATTACAACAAGCACACTGAGCCGTACAATGACCCCAACCCTTCCTCCTCATGGGATCAGGTGGATTCTCACAACATTTGCACTGACGACCACAGCAACCACCGCGCCTGGCACAATCCTGACGCAACCACTCACTCTTGAGATACCACTGCGGCTCCTTTCGAATCCACTCATATCCGCTCCTGATAGGTCCTACAGGACAGCCCGCTAGGAGGGTGTCGTATATCCGCTCGAGACGCATGTACTCATGGTCTAGAGCTATCAACTCTTCGATAAAATCCGGTAGGGCGGCTTTGGCTGCTTCGGAGCCGGCATGATATTTATGGATATACTTCTTGAGGAAATTCTCGCGTTGGGTGATTTGGCGAAGACGCTCTTCTGTTTCGATGATCGATTGCGCCCAGCGAGATACAACGTCCCAGTCCGTCTCCCACAATATATGTCGCTTGCCTCGTATGATTTGCCAGTTAATCCATCTGCTGGAGGTCTCTGCGACGTCTTGTATGAGGTCGAGGATTTCCTCGAGTGCTGGGAATCGGATTTGCTTGACTGGGTTCTTCATCTTGGTTTGCTAGTTTGAAAATGCATATGGGAGGTTGATTTGAGGTTTTTTTTTTTTTGAAGAGTAGACTCGTTACATCACTTTTTATCATCCGATCAGTTGATATTGCGAATATAGTTTATGTGTCCATGGTGCGTGCCTAGGTGGAACATTGGCGTTGAGATATAGTTTGTTCCCAGAAAGTGTGACAGAATAACCCTATCCCAATACTTCGAAGAGGTCGATCCCGAGCTAATCAAACGCAATCGGAGATCGGACTTGCTCCATACATCGGCCTTGGTAGGGGCCGACTGACTGTAAATTGAGACAATAAACCTGTTACAACATTGTATATCCAGCCTGCCTTGCCCTCCCGTCACGGTCGGCAAGAATTGGGTCGCCAACTTCATTAAGTTGGCCATTCCACCCATCCGCGAAAAGCGTATTTCTGCCTTCTGTGCATCTTTTGAATACGGCATCGGATGCTGATTGAAGGCCTCTGATATGTCTAAAAAGAGCCCTGTCAACATCTTGGCTGTGCCGGCTATTAAACGCCGACACTGCCCACCTCGATGGGAGCACGATACTAGACTATAGCGGAGAACATCTAAGCGGCGACCGACAGTATCCGACCCGCCCCTATATGGCTGGTCATCGGCGTTGACGACATCTAATCAAAAACTGTATACGGCACCGGTTCTTCCTAAATGCAAATCAGGAGGTCTCACAAGACTACAATCCAGAGTCGACGCATCCGCGAGGGCCACTAGCACAGCCTAACAAGATTATTCAAGGCTCTACGGCAGAGCGCAACTAGATATTGGCTTCACGAGCAGCATTAACACCGGAAAAGTTACCCGATGTCAGTAGTCAAAGATCCTGTGCCTGGAGAGCTAAGCAATCCATCAGCCGACACCGCTTCCAAGGCATGGCTTGACTTGGGGATCCTGTTGCTGATCCATCACCACAGGGGTCTTGCCTCCTCACCTTCAGATCAGGCCATTCCAAGCCGCTCGGAGACTTGCATCACCTTGTCCATCTGCCCCAAGTTCTCGTACACTACAGCTAGATCTCCACCTATCCTCTGCGTTAGCGAATCCTCCGGGCCCAAAGCTCGCATCGCCGCCTCAAATGCTCTCTCGAGCGTGGCTTTTGCTTCCGCCATGCGGGATTGCATCTTGTAGATACGCCCAAGATTGTGCAGCTGCCCCAGTGTCATAGGTGGTCCAGCCCCTTGATCTCCTCGAAACCTCGCGCCGCCCTCACCCACATGAGTTCCGCCATATCCAGTTGGTTCTGCTTGGCGTAGAGCAGCCCAAGCCCAGCAGCTGCATCTACAGTCGAAATGTCTCCTGCACCGAGGGACTTTTCGTAGATTTTCAGTGCCTGGGCTGCCATCACCTCTGCATTGTGCAGCTGACCCAGAGCTTGATATAAATCGGCAAGGACGCAACACACTTCTCCCGTCGAGGCGTCGTCCGGGCCAGGTGTATTCTGGTACCGTTGGAGTAGCTCTCTGTACACGATAACTGCCTCGGACAGCCTGTCTTGGTTCATGTACACTTTTGCCAGGTTTTTTTTCGTCCGAACTGCGATATCATGTTCCGCGCCAAAGACCTTCTCGTAGGCTCGCACCCCTCGCTTCAGTATCGTTCCAGCCTCCTCATATTGTCCATTTGTCGCATACAGTGTCCCCAGTTTATCCATTGCCTGGATCGTAAATTTGTCCTCGCCGCGCGTTCGTTCGTAGCCCTTCAGGGCTCGCTCCATTAGCTGTATCGCCTCGTCAAACCTATCCTGGTCATAATAGAGCGCACCAAGGTCAAATACCGCGATCAGCGTTCTGTCGTCGTTGGGCCCGTAGAGCTTCTCCCGGCCTTGCAGGTATCGCTCCCAAAGGGGAGCAGCCTCATTCAAACGGCCTTCTGTCGCGTAGAGAAGGCCAAGGCAGTGCACAGTATCCAACGTGGTCTCGCTGCCCGGACCAAATAGCTCCTCTCTGCCGGCCAAGGAGCGGTTATACATGCCCTCCGCGGCCCTGAACTGCCCGCGGCCTTTATACAGGATGCAGAGGTTGTTTATTGTGTTGAGCATGGCTTCCCGATTCGGCTTCTCTGCCTTCTCGTAGCCCCTGAGAGCTCGTGTATACAGCTCCTCTGCCTCGTCTATCCGGCCCTGGTCCTTGTAGAACGTGGCGAGGTTATTAAAGGCAGCCAGGACTGGATTACCGTTCGGCCCTCACAACCGCTCACGGCATGGAATGAGTCGAAGTTCCATAGCCTCTGACTCGGCGAGGCGGCCATCTTTTGCAAGTTGTGCACTAAGGACGTCCAGCTCGTCAATAACGTCGCTGTCCACAACCTGGTCGTCGAGTTTGAATTGCTGCTTGTCTTCGGAAATTTTAACCGTCAGGTATCCCTCGACCGTGTGGTGCCTGAATTCAAAGGTGGTCGCGTCGGATGACTTGCGGATAAGCTGCCCACCAATATCTGCAACTTCCTGTTAGTTGACTTGGGCCTTGGACTGGCTGTCCTCGATTTCGTGATACAGAAGGAGGATTGAGAGGAAGTCACACATTTCTGCAACAGAGAGTTGCAGCTCAGGTAACTCCAAAATGGTCCCAACATAGATCCACCTCAAGACTCTCTGGAGAATGAATATCTCGCGGGGGCTGCCTTCCCGCAGAATACGTTCCAGGTAAGAGTGATATGGGAACACCGCAGAATCCCAATCATTTGGATCAGGTCCATAATGCCAGTAACGATCGACTAATGTATTGGGATCCCGGGAGTTATTAGCTGGTGGCTGCCACGATCCTCCGCGCGCCAGATGGCACTGATTGTCCAGCTCACAAATCGCCCAAAGCCAGCTTGGATTTCATCAGTAATGTTGTCCTGCGCTGCTACTCAGGTGAGAGAGAGAGATTTGGGACTTACGCGCCATTGCTATTGTCGGCAATATAGTTTTCGATCCCCGCACGAACATGATCCGGCTGCAAGAATGTGTCGCCACAGCTGATGCGCTTAGCAATCTTAGCCTGCACAAATAGGCGGATATCTTCAGCTCGTCCCTTCACCTCAATAGGGCAGCAATTTGTCTCGCCTGCTAGTCGTTCTTGTTTGCTTTTCGGTGCCGTGGTAAACAACACCCGGAGGGTGGATGCCGGACTGTCAACCAGTGAAACAAGCAAGCGAACAAAGGCGGCCTCGGCTTCAGACTCTATGAAATCGACGGAGTTGATGACAAGGTAGACGCGCTCAAAGCACCGGGAAACCGTTTGAAGTAGTCTGCCGAGGGTGTCCATGTCCAGGGAAGCAGCCGAGCCCTGGTAATAGGCCTCAGAGTTTCCTGGAGCCAAGCCAAGGTCATTATCACCCTCCAGGTACGCCTCGAGTAGCTTGCACGCATCCTTGTTCTGCCGAGCCAGCTGGGTTATCAAGGTGCGGAGGATATTCAGCGGATCCAATGTTGGGATTCGCGACCGGCTACAGAAGTAGTAGCCAACAGCATGATTAGCTGGGCGCTCTCGGATCAGATGCTCTATGACCGTCGCCATGAGGACCGTCCTGCCTGATCCCCAAAAGCCATGGAGCCACAGCTTGGTGATTCTCGACACCGGCATCTCCTGCCCTGGACCGATCCACTGCTTGTCCGTGCGGCCCGTGATCCAGGCGGAGACCATTTCATCCTCAAACAGCCAGCGGTTGGTGCCCGGTTCCCTCTGCCGTATCGTTGCATTCAAGATGGTGGCCATGGGGGTTGGGCTGAAGGACTCAGTCAATGTAGACGGAGCCGCATGCGATGGCAGGTCGTGAGCCTCGCCATAATCACCCTCCATAGCGGCAGCTTCTCTCGCAGTCGCCCCGGGTTTGGCTTGGGGGTTGAGTGGTGGGCGTAAGAAGGTTACTCTATTTTGCAGTGACGTCCAGGCGTCGGTAGTTTTGGCGGAGTAAAATCCCCTAGAACACCAAGGCCAGCCAGCCTCGTATCAGAGCAGAACACGGGCCAGCGCCCCGCTATTTGGCCCATGGTGTCATTAGAATCGACAACCCACGTTACCTGACATAGAGCAGGCGCTTAATCTCGAGCTGCAAACTTTGGAGAAAGATTGATTGTCCACGTCAAGTACCAAAACCTTCGTATAGTCCTTCTATCCCAGTAAACGGTCTAGAAGGGATCCGGTGAGAAGCTGGGATCCGGTGGGGCCCACCCACACCAGGTGGTTGGCGACGATCAGCTAAAACTCTATTGAATTTCCAGCGGGGAGCAAATTGGTCACATGGTGGTTCAATTGACTTGGTTGTAGGTGCTAATTCCTGGACGCGTTTTTGGTGGGGTGCGCAACTCGAATCCGTTAGCTACGTTATCTAAAGATAGCGATAACGCTGGAGGTTCCTCTATTCGTACACGATTATAGAAGACCCCGACTCGCGAGCATATCCTAAGTCTTTAGCAAATTATTGAAACTCTTGACACTGTCCCAGGAGTCATCAGCCCATCATGTCCCATGATGCCACGGCCAAGCGCCGAGTGTTGGTGATCGGATCAGGTGGTGTGGGGACGATGGTCAGCGTCGCCCTCGAAAGATCTGGACAGGCATCTGTCACAGCTGTTCTCCGATCCAATTATGAACAGGTTGTCCAGCATGGATTCGAAATCGAGTCCATTGACCACGGGAAATTGTCATCCTGGAGACCAAGTGCAAGTATTCAACCCCCCAAAGTTCGAAAGTCCAAGAACAACTAGTTAGTTCAGCCCGAAGCTAACCCATAGATAGTCGTCAATGCTGTCCCCTTAGCTGATCCCAACGCCCCGTTCGACTACGTGATTGTCTCAATGAAGAACATCCCCGAAGTGAACAACATCCCCAAGATCATAGCACCAGCCATAACCCCAAATTATACAGCGATCGTCTTATTCCAAAACGGTCTGTATATCGAACCACCAATCATCGCAGCATTCCCCTCGAATGTGGTATTGTCAGCGCCGACTTTCCTCGGCGCACACGAACACAACGGACACGTTGTACACGGCGACCACGACATTTTCCACATCGGCGCATTCCATAACCCAACCGTGGATGCGGCGTTCGAGCGCGCTAAGCTCGAAGAGTTCGCGACGATTTATAACGGGAGCAGAGTCGTCGATGCGAATGTCGTCGATGATATCGTCTTCTATCGCTGGCGCAAGGTGATCTGGAATGGGATTTTCAATCCCATGTGCGCTATCACTCAGCTTGACAGTGCTGCGGTTCGGCGGTTCGGCGGCGAGCATAGTTTGATTAGACCCGGTATGGCGGAGATGGCGGCCATTGCCAAGGCGGATGGGTATGATCTCGGGCCTGGCATTGTGGATGAGATGATCGATGTTACTCCGGTCGAGCTGTGTTTCAGGCCTAGTATGCTGGTCGACGTGGATAAGGGGAATCCTATGGAGGTAGAGGTCATTTTGGGGAATGCTTTGCGTGTTGCGAGGGAGAAGGGTGTTCATACACCGATCTTGGATAATACGTACCGGTTTTTGAAGCTCACTCAGGCGCGACTGTTGGCTGCAAGGGGCTTGATTGCTGAACCGAAGGAACTGCCAAAAGTAGATCTTATATAGTCATTCGTCGAGACCGGTTTGGGTTCAAAGCAATACCGTTTGCCAAACCAGCCTGTTGGTTTCGTTGTTCCACGGTATTGGCAAGAACGAGGTCTGGTAATACGACATGTATCTTGTATTGACCTCGAATCGGTAAGCAATAAGTGAGCCCGTTCCATGAGACAACCGGTGTGGAACACGAACTACACATGTAGGAGTGCCGATCTCAGTTGCAGGACATATGAACTCATCAATATCAGCACCGATCCCCCGGAAGTACTCCATACACACTCGCAGGATCTAAATGGAGAGAATCGATGTCCACACCCACTGCGTGCCACCCTGGTATCGCGAATATTGCCTACAGAGCGACTTCGCGGGCCGAGGCCACCCAGATGGAATGCCCACGATCCCAGTGAGTCCCCTCCGAACCTGAACACCACACCACATTGAATCCATACTAAATACAACGTAATCCAGGAATGGAGTGCCCAAGCACATATCGAACTAATGAACCAGTTAAAGATCAAAAATTCAGTGCTGAGCATGTCCTCCCCAGCGACCCATCTAACCCCGGGCGACCACGAAGAAGGCCGATCCGTAACCCGCCGCGCCAACATCGACATGTCCAAAATCTGCGCCGATCACCCAGCCCACTTCCTCTTCTTCGCGTCTCTCCCCCTCCCAGACGTGGAAGGCTCCCTTGCAGAAATAGACTACGCACTGGACCATCTTGGCGCAGTGGGGTTTCAGATCCTGACCAATTCGCATGGCATCTACCCGGGCGATCAGCGCTTTAGTCGTGTTTTTGACAAATTGAGTGAGCGCAAGACCATCGTCTTCTTCCACCCGACTACCTGTCTCATCCGGCACGGTGACTCCCTGAATAAGGTGATACCGCTCCCTGGTGTCACGGCGCCGATTATGGAATTTATGTTCGATTCGACCCGGGCGCTTATGAGTCTGCTTACTTCTGGGACTGTGGATCGATGTCCTGGGATTACTTTTGTGGCGTGTCATTGTGGTGCGACTTTTCCTCCGATTATGGAGAGGATCGCGGAGTTCTCGCCCATGGTTCCTGGTGCAGGGGATGGGATTAGTGGGGAGAGGATTAAGCAGCTGTTGCAGACACGTTTCTATTTTGATCTTGCGGGTATGCCATTCCCGGATCAGATTCATGGTCTTCTACGGCTGGTTGATTCGTCCAGATTGCTGTATGGGAGTGATTATCCCTATACCCCTGCAGCGCTGGCGGAGGTTCTTGGTAAGAGAGTGGATGATGGATTGCAGAGTCTATTCGGATCGGAAACAACGGAACGAATTTTGTTTAACAATGCGCAGGACCTTCTTGGGAAAGCTCGTGAATCGCTGTCTGCAAGCGGTTCATGACCAAGGAGACAGACAACGGACAGCCCTGGTTTGTAATAGAAGTATTGTTCCGAATATATGCATATTCCTTGACTTCCCAATATTCTCGGTTTGGCCTCCCGAGACCCGTAGACGACATGCTTGCGTCGTCATGCCTTGCGCGATAACGTCCCTTGGGAACTTAGATAGTTCTCTTTCTCTCTCCCTCTCTCTGTTTCTTTCCTCTTCAATCAACTTTTGATCTACTTGCTGCTTCAAAGCCGAAATCTCCAAAACGACAGTACTACTTTGATTCCAAGAGCGAAAATGATCGGCAACTCTCAGCTTTTTCTTTTCGGCCTCGAGGGCACAGAAATCACCCTTCCCAGTTCTAACTCACTCAAAATCCCCGGAAATACATGGGTGGTCGACAAGAAACTCAACGGAAGTTTCTTGCAATATCACGCGCGGGGACCTTGACCGTGATGGTGACACTAGGACTGTACCATCTTATACGATGGGAAAGTTCTTATGCCACCGGGTGGGAGCCCTCCCCGAGTCCGCTTTTATGAGAATATACTGCCAAGTTCCGATCGAAGAAACCGAGTTCCTAAGCCCCGAAGCTCGGGCTAAGCAAGCAGTTCCTCCTTACCAGCACGAGGAGGCTATGGCATTAAAAAGGTTCAAGGAAGGTGGCTGCACAGTCGTGCCCGAGCTTCTTGGGTATAGCGAAACTGTTCAAAGCAAGGATGGACTCGTGCCTGGAGGGTATATCATATACCTTGTATGGGATAAAGTCCCAGGCGTGTCGTTGTCAGGGGGACTTTTCTGGTCATTCGAAAGCCCTAAGCGAGAGCTCATTCGTCGAAAGTTTCGAGCTGCTTATGAGTAAGTCAACACGATCCTTACTATAGTACAAGCTAATATAAATAATAGGATTTTGAGATCTTTCGGCTATCTGTCAATGATAAAAACCCCAGCTAAGCTTATTTGGGACAAGGAATCTGCCCAGCTACATATCTCTGGATTCTCGACGGCAATCAATGTCGACCCTGACAAGGAATGGAATGATGACGTTTACGCAATGTACCAACTTGTCAAGCTACCCAATATCGGTTGGGAGGATACCACTCGATGGAAGTGGTGAAACAAGAGAAGGCCAAACACTGACAGCGACTTCAATATAACAGGCATTATTGACTGGGAATGGGCGCAGACGGATTCGAAATCAGCAGTTTTCAATTCCCTCATTGTGCTTCCGGTTGCCGATTTTTACGAGGGTGCTGATTGTATCGGAGAAGACGAAGTCTTTTTTGTTGAGTGTTTGGAAGAGAAAGGACATCCAGATCTTGGAGATGGTCAGAAATGAACAGCTTCTTCACCGAATCCAATTCTTTGTTGTGGATATGACCTTGGCGATTGGGATGGATTCATTGGGCTCTTGTTCGGGCTGCTTAAGATATTGGGCATCGAAGGGGATTTACAATAGGAAATCTGGAGAGCGGAGGCCTTAGAACGCTACCGAGAGGATTTTCAACTAAAGCAGCTTCTGAGAATGTCCGAAGATGAATGAAAGCCGACACATTTTGAATCGTTTAACATAAGCAAAGGCGTCGCCAAATGGTCCGTAAAAACATGTGATAGTATCGTGTTGAGTATTAAGTACGCGCTCGAACGCTGTCGAGGGTGAGCAGCCACAAATATTGGCTTATCAGATATCCTTGCAGAGTTCTCAAACCTCGTTATTGCTGAGGAAGGAATAGCAGTGGTCATAAAGGAGTGACATCGCCGAGTGCATACGACAGTCGAAACCAATATCGTTTTGTTTTCAAGCTGACAATGATCACTCAAGAGAGAGTTATCAGTGGAGAAGTTGAATTCATGACAAGTAAAAATACTTTGAAAAAAAGCAGCAGAGTTGGGTGAGCACCCGATTATCCGCCATGAATAAACCGGGACATGCCAGTGGCACCAACGATCGCAATTAGCTCGGGGTTGAGTGATGTCGCTTGCTGCATGCCGAGGTCCACAACAGCCTCACAGTCGACTAAGGTCACTTTCCGACTCGTGCGGTCATAGAGGACATTGTGCCTACCGCATCTACCAGCCAAATGGAAATTGACCGGAGCATGCCAATGGCACTACTACATTCACTAAATACATGGGCTTTCTCGGCAAATGGCAGGCTGTCCCAGATCCCAAATAGCTGTTGTCGTGGAACCTTTTCCAGAAGAAGGATCCTCCCTTCGGGGAACCTTGCTGAGCAGATGACTCCCCAGAGAACATAAGGCGAGTAAAAAACTCGAAGCCACTTGGTCGAAGCTCGTGCTGACGTCTATACACCTCGAATTTATTAGTAGCCCTATATTTTGTCAAGAATAAAACAGGTGAACATTGCCAGTTTCGTTATTCTGGGAGCAAAGCTTTTCTAATTTATGATTGGCTCGTGGTTACAGTACTCCTTTCTCCACCTTGGAGAAGGGCCGGACCGTCGCATCGTATGGGGGGGGGGGGGGGAAGAGGA